CCGGCTCTCCCCCGCAGTACAAGAACGCCGGCGTGATCGAGCTGGAGGCCTGCATCAAAGCCGTGCGCGTCCTGGCCATCCAGAAGCGGAGCATGGAGGCGTCGGAGTTCCTGCAGAACGCCGTCTACATTAACCTGCGGCAGGTGCGTGTGCGCGGCGGCCGGACGCGGCCTGGCGGCCACTGCCCACTCTGCGTGGCGCTCCGCCCTCCCCCTTTGCGGGCTTTGCTTTCGAAGTGCAGATTCTCCACCCTTTCAAAGGATTTTGTTCTGTTGGAGAAACCGTGTTCCTGTTCCTGCTCGGTGACTGCGAGCAAGCTTCTGTCCGTCACCTGTCCCCAGGGAAGCGCTTGCTGTTTGTAACCCATCCCGCTCCTTCGCCAGTGGGCAACCCACGGATATTATTTAATCCAAGTCTGGATCGGTTTCTAATGAAGCAAAATCATTAGAACATTTATTCCATAATAACTAATTATGCACATAATCACTGCATAATTAGAGCACAGTGAAACCAAACATTAGAACACGTTGCTAGTGCAAAATCCCGAAATTGGTGTCCTCGAGAGACTGCAGTTGGTTTCAGGCTTCAGTCGGCTCCACTTGGAGTTTACCGGGAGGGCAGCAAGGACCCCAGGAGGCGGCTGCAGTGGGGCAGGGCCAAGGCCTGACCCTGAGCCGCTGGCAGGTGGCGCAGGCCCGGGCAGGCCAGCCCTGCTGAGGGGCCCTCAGGGGCAGAGGCCTCATGCACGGGCTGTGACAGCAGAGCGTGTGAGGGAGCAAGTGGCCACAGGACCCCGTGACTCAGGTGGGGGGCCGAGGGGTTCCCGCTGCTGCGGAGGAGAGCAGAGACTCCGAGAGGGGTGGAGAAGCGTGGCCAGAGGGTGGGCACCAGCTGGCTCTCCCGCAAGGAAGCGGCATGGCAGGGCTGGCACAGGGCGCGGGGCAGCGGGGATGGGCCTCCGGAGAGCTGGAGTCGGGGCAGCGGGGACGGTGGGCTGCCGCAGAGCCCAGGTCAGCCAGCGGTGCGGCCGTCCTGTGGGGGCGGCGCGGGGGGTCCCACCCAGGAGGGGCTGTCAGCGGGCAGGACAGGTGCGCCCCGCCGCCCGCTGGGCCCACTGGCCTGTCCAGTCCAGGGCCGGGGCTCGCTGTGGGGTGAGGATGGAGGGGCCTCAGGTGTGGGCTGAGTGAAGGCAGGCCTGGGGCCGGGGCCGTGGGGAGCCGAGCCCCGTGCCCGCAGTGTGGGCGCCTCGCCATCACCCAGTGTGGCGCGTCCTGACCGCAGAGCAGCTTCAGCTTCTATGCAGAGAGAAAGTAGAAGGCCACGAGGCAGGCCCATCGCACCCTGCGGCTAACAGCCTCCTGCGCAGGCCTGATGCCCCACGCTCAGGCCAGGGTCTGGGGCTTCATCTGGGTCTGGCCTCCCCGCCCCCAGCGGCCTGCCTCGCCCCCGGGCCCCTCATCACGGCCTCTTTCCCAGCCCCCCATGACGGGGGAGGCTGGCACGACCGGTAAGCCGAGGCCGCTGCCCGCCTGACCCCCGAGGGGGACTCAGAACAAAGCCGGCACCCCAGCCCAAGTGCTTGGACCCCCAGACCCGTCATGTCGGGGGCAGGAGCAGACAGCCGGGGAGCACGGCAGCGCCCCGGCGGGCTGAGGGGGGCCCTTCCCGTAAGCCGGCGCCTGGCTGTGGAGGCGCCTCCTGGGCGTGCTGGCGAACAGAGAGGCGCCTGGGCCGCGTCGTCGCTCACGGGCCGCGGGGCGGGGTGGCCGGCGGCGATGGCGGGTGTGGGTTTATGGGATGACCAGCACAGGCTGCCTAGGGCCAGCTGGGGAGGCGGCCGTGGAGCTCAGCTGTGAGGAAGCCGCCAAGGAGGGTCTCTGCGGG